GTCCTGAGGGGAGGAAGCTGAGCAAATAGCAGGATCTCAATCCTGGACTTCAGGAGAGCAGGCTTTGACTTGTTTAGGGATCTGCTTGGAAGAATCCCATGAGAGATGGCCCTAGAGAGGGGTCCAGGAGAGCTGGTTATTTTTAGTGTGACATTGGTATGTTTTCCACATTAAAAATTATGCTTCATATGAGGAAGGGAGAAAAGAAGGACAGACAATTGTAGAAGAGCAAAGTACACCATGATGCAAGTTGTGCGTGCTGCTATCACAATCATTCTTGACTGCATGCAATTAATTTCTCAGTCACAAAAAAATCCTTCACCAAATCCTCCTTCAGATTGTCACTTAGGGCAATGGGATGACTCTTGATATGTTATTTTCAAGGAAGTTATACCAAACTCACCATCATCACAGTCATGTTCAATGGATTAACAGTAATTTTGACAAATATAATGCACTTGCATTGTCAGGCTGAACAGCTGATACAAAACATGTAGAGGTACTATGAAAGTCTCACTCAGGCTTTTCAGCTTGAAGGAATGGAAGTTATGCTGCTTTTTATTATCTTGTAGAAGCAGAAATGACAGGTTTATACAAGATAAGACTGCATTGTCAATACAGAAGTAGAATAGAATTCATGAGGCTTTCCTCTAAAATTAGGGGTAGATAGATAAAAGTAGATTGGCTTCCTATTTGTTATACAGTTGTGAATAACCTAATTGTATAAATATTTCAAAGTATGTGAACAGTTGAATACTAAGAGACAGAGCTTACTTTGATTTTCTCTTTCTTCCTCTAACTCTTCTTGCAAAATGCTGAATAGCATAGGCAAGAAGGGATTTGCTTGGTGGAATAAATCATGCACATTGTCAGTTATCAAGTAGAGTTTACCAAAGTATACCAGATACTGCCAGTTGCTAAACAGTATGGCATCTTTGTCTGACTTCCATTTGCATTTCAGAATTCCTTTTGGCAAAATAATGAAAACTTGCAAAGCTTACACCATTGTTGGTATACTTTTCTAAATTGTGTACATTGGTCTTTTAATTATTTAGTGCTCTTTAAGAATTTATGCTCTAAATCATATTTCAAATAGGTACCTAGTCTCAAGGCTGGAAATTAGAATCATAGAATCATAGAATAGTTAGGGTTGGAAGGGACCTTAAGATCATCTAGTTCCAACCCCACTAAACTATGTCGCCCAAGGCTCTGTCCAGCCTGGCCTTAAATGCCTCCAGGGTTGGAGCATTCACAACTTCCTTGGGCAACCCATTCCAGTGCCTCACCACCCTCACTGTAAAGAACTTCTTCCGTATATCTAACCTAAAGTTCCCCTGTTTAAGTTTAAAGCCATTACCCCTTGTCCTACCACTAGAGTCCCTAATGAAGAGTCCCTCCCCAGCATCCTTGTAGGCCCCCTTCAAATACTGGAAGGCTGCTATAAGGTCTGTATTCTACTGGAGTGTTTCTGCAAGTTTGACTTTACTGAGGCTTGATTGTTGTGATTATCACAGTTGACTGGCCCAAGTCATTTAGCGCTGTCAGTGCTGCAGATAAATAAAAGGTTTTGAAGGGCAGTCAGATTTTACAACATGACAAAATGCTGGTAACTGAGACTAAGCAGAGTCTTGTTTCTTTGAAGCTTTCTTCACTTTAAGTGCAGACACATAATTGGGTATACATAGCTCTCCAAAAGAGAAAACTGTGATAAAACTTCAATTAATAGCTGTTCAGCAATCCTGAAGACTTCTGCTCCCTCTAGGTATGGAGTTTATTTACACAACTGCTTAATTTGTAAACATGACAGCAAGAGCTAGCATTATGCTTATGACTCTGTCAGATGGCACTGTATTGATGGGTTCCACATATTGTACTGATAAAGATAAATCTGAGAACTGGCAACTTACACTTTCTGCTGTAAATCAGTTGCTGTATATGAATGCGAGAGGAGATGGGGGGGGGAAAGCAGTTCTGTGGAAATCTAGGTTTTGAGGAGGTCTAAATTCATCTGAGTACTGAAAGCACTGGGCTACATCTGAGAGACTGACTGTACAGCTATGCTGTCAGACTTTGAGGTCCACTGAAACTTTACATCTAAACTCCAACTTCAAGGTCAGAAAGTATGGGTAACTAGACTGTGACTGTATTCAAAAGGAATGTGTGTGAAAACTTCTGTGTAGATTTGAAAGGAGATTGTACTCTGGAAGTGGCTGGAGAAGGAGGAGCTCTGACTTGGACAGTTTAGAAACACAGGCTATGAGATAACTGTAGTGCTGCTAATCAAACTTCCAATCTAGTTGTTTAATTCAGATACCCTGCATCTTACCAGGTTGTACTCTTGTGTTTTTTATTTAAGAGCTGGTTTTGGGCAGATAGTAGAAGAATAGGGTGTAAAGCTGTATATCATAGTTTTGGCATCACTTCAGCTAAAATACTACTCCTTCCTTTGGTATTCACATAACCATTCTGAACATAGTTCTCTTTTCCCTAAGTGTGTTTAGGTTAGATAGCAGTAATGATTATGTCTGTCCTGTTCCAGGTTAACTATGTTCATTCAGGTTTAATACAAGCATGCAAAGTGCTGGTGATTAGTGGTATTAAAGACAATAAAAGGAGAAAGAAGCATAGCTGCTGGATCTTGGGTCTTCTGTGGTTTTTATAACCAAATTGGTGGTGATCCCTGCATTGTTGCAAGACTTAAAGAAGACTGAAGAAAATTGCCATGACACCATCTTACTACCGACTTCAATTACCAGATTCATTTGCCAAGCAAATCCTCCTTATGTTTCTTGATTTGAGTGTTCCCATTTTATTTTATTTGTTTATTTAAACCTCTTTCCCGCAGTGTAACAACCATTTCTGTTAACCTCTGTTCCAGAAGTGGTGTGGCATTCATGCGTGATATCTAATGCATTAAAGAAAACCCCCAACAAAATAAAGCAAAAAAAACAAACAAACAGGAAAAAAAACAAAAGAAAAAAGAAAAAAACAAATAAAAACCAAAACAAAAAAAAGCCCACCAAAAACCCCACCAAACCCTGAACCAGAACCTACACACAGAAAAACCCCACCAACCGCAGCCCCACGCCAAAACCAACTCTACTGCAACTTTGACAATTCCCAAGTTTTGTTTGTTTTTTTGTTTTTTTTTAATTATTAAATTTCATGTTGATGACCTTGCTAACCCTTCTGTTAGGGGAGGTTCATGGGCTCCTAGAGAGAAATGTTAAGGTTTTGTGATTTCCCTTTCCTATTTAAAGGTAGAGAGAATCAAAGAGGAATGATTTAAAAATCGGAAGGATAGGTGTGCAAATCTAAATGACTGTAGTCTTCCCATTTTCAACAAAACTGAAAGAACTAATTTTTTAAAACAACTTCCTTTTGTGTTTTGGGTCAGTGGTTTGTGTTACAGGGAAGGAGGTGTTTCTGTAGAAATAGCTCTTGGCAAATGTGATTGGGTACCTGCCAGCAGCAAAGGAGGGTAGGAATGCTGTAAGAAAACCCACCTCTGTAACTGTAGTTTCAGTGAGTGCTAATTAGCATTTGTTATGCACTGGTATGTGATATGTAAATACTGCTCGATCAGGTGAGCATTTATCAAGTCTCCTTTTAATGGTGAGTTCAAACACAAGCTTGAATTCCAGAGTTTAGTGAACAGAAGAAAATGATGGAAAATGTAGCTGTTTTTTCATTTGTTTGTTTGCTTAGTTTTGGGTTGGTTTTTTTTTTCCTTTTTTTTTTTTTAAATGCAGGTGTTTGAAAGAGCTCTTGGTCAAATTCTTAATCTTATACTATACACCTGTTTGAGATCACAAATTCTGATTTATTTCAGCTAATAAATTTCATCTAAGAAATTTCATCTAGTAAATTTAATCTGATTTCTTAGATACATTGATATGTTATACATAGTTGCAAACTGATGATGAATGTCATTCAAGGAATGACAAAGAAATTCAGAAACAGACCTAATCGTTACATATTGATAATAGAAATCTCACTCAGTTTTAATGGTTACATTTAGAATAAAAGGTTTTCAGTGGGAATCATGACTGCCTGAATCTACATTTGTTTGCCATAAAACATTTTGTTAAATTAACCATTTTCTTTAGGACTGATCTTGCACTTCATTGAAAAGTATGTATGTTTAGATGGAAAATTGTTTTCCACTGGGGAACTGGGAAAAAGCCCTGATGAACGATCATTGAATGTTGCTGTGTTCATAACTTCATTAGTTTAAGCCACTAGTTTGCCTAAATTCAATGTGGTTTTGTTTTAGCTTTGTATTGTTAACTTGTTTACAGTAGTTAGGCTGAGTACAGAGAAACCAACTAGTAGGTCTCAAACTTAATCCAAATTTACTGCCTCTTTATTGATGCATATGTGTTGTGTTTTAATCCCAGTTGGTAACTCAGAACCATGCAGCTGCTGACTCAGTCCCCCTTTCTCTCTCCATCCCAGGAGGGATGGGGAGGAACATCAAAAGAATGTAAACCTCACTGGCTGAGATAAGAACAGTCCAATAACAAAAGTATAATATAAAACTATTATGATGATTATTAATAATAATAATAATAATAATGGAAATAACAAGTGGTGAGAATATAAAACTAAAAAAGCGGAAAAACAGTACAAAACAATAAACACAATTGACGCACAATACAATTCCTCACCATGCACTGGCTGATACCCAGCCTGACCTGAGCAGTGATCTCACCCTTCTGGGTAACTCCTCCCAGTTTATATACTGGGCATGATGTACTGTGGTATGGAATACCCCTTTGGCCAGTTTGAGTCAGGTGTCCTGACTGCTTTGTCCTGGTTTCTTGTGCCCCTCCTCACTGGCAGAGCATGAGAGACTGGAACATCCTTGATCAGGGTAAGCAATGCTTAACAACTGAAACATCGGTGCAGTATCAGCACTGTTTTGGGGCTAAAGCTGAAATACAGCGCTGCAGCAGCTACTAGGAAGGAGAAAAATAACTGTTACAGCTGAACCCAATATGGACAGTATGTGATATAAAAATAACCTAGTTATCCCTCTGGTGCAGTACTAAATACAATAGATGCCAGTTATTGGGAGAGCCTGTAGAGTTTTTAGTCTCTTCCATGACTCCATTGCATAATGCATACTATATGAATATATTTGCTTGCGTAGTCTCGGATATTTTGATTTGTTGGTCTTTTATCTGGTTCTGTGAATCTGTTGTATGTCAAGTATTCCATTTATGGTTTTTTTACCAGTGCTTGAATAGCAACATCAGAAATGCTTTTGTAAACTGTCAGTAATAATCTGCATAAAATAGTGTAGAAATAGCATTAAAGATTTTTTTTCTTTTCAAGAGAAAGTGGAATAGTTTAACTTAAAGAAAAATAAGTGATGGGATGACTGATACTGTAACAGATGATTCTTTTCCAAAGACACAGAAATACCCAGTAAATACCATTATTGGTATGTATTTGGGCTGTCACTGTGACTTACAGTGAATTTCTTGTTTGCATATTGACATACAGGCATTCTTTTAAAGGTGCAGTGTTTTGTATTGTAAATTAGCAGAATTAATGGTGACACGTTACTGGGCATATAAATTGTGTATCATCTTTTTGTGAGAAATGGTCTCTAGCTAAAAACTTAAGCTCAGGGTAGACACAGCAGTGAAGCAGCTATTTATTAATAGCTTTTTGCAAAAACGGTTGTCCTAGCAAGTAGGCACACACAGAAAAAGCAGAACTATGATTTCTATTTCCTATCCCGTCTGCAAGTTCCCTCGTTTCCCCATTGGTTGGGTACTCCAAGGTTTACAGCCTATCCAATGTGTATAACCTACATGTTAACTGTCCAGCCTCTGTTTACATCTCCCCTTATTCGATTTTGTACACCCCTTCCTCTTAGTTATTTATCTCCTTTTATAGTTCAGTTTCATAACTGTGTGGCAGACATGTGGTACCCCAACTTACTGTTTAACCTGCCTGCACCTGCCTAGTTTCATAGGTTGTACAAAGACAGTATTCTTTTTAACCACGGAGTGTATCTTTCGTCCAGAGATGATATTGTCTTTAACCACAGAGTGTGTCTTTCTAAGTTATGGTATCTGAAAGCCTTTGTTTTGTTCCCTTAGTAACTTAGCCCCAGTACTGAAAAATCTTAATATTTCAAAGCCTCGTTACTGATCTTAGAGCTCTAATATTGTAAAGCCTTAATATTGCAAAATCCCATCCCCAATTATGTGACAACAGCACTGTTTCTCTCACATTTTCCTTTTTGATCTCTGCACAGTTCAAAGAATGTATACTTTTACAGTAACAACTGTTACTTTTGTGAAGTATATGAGGTTAGCAATCTAGGAAGAAATTTTTATCCTGAATTAAAGCAAATAAGTATGGTTTTGTTTGTTTGTTTGTTTTAAGATGAGGTTACAGTGCAAACTGGAGATCTGTTGCCATGTAGGATTTGTGGAAGGACTTTCTTCCCAGCAGCACTGGTAAGTGGTGTGAGTGAGCACTGTTGGCTTTTAGATCTGATAAGTTGTTAGGAGAGTTAAGCAATGGTCACTGTAGCTAAATAAAGTAGAAACCAAATGATGCTTGGGTTTTGGTATTTAGGGTTTTTTTTGTTTGTGGGCTTATTAGTTTGTTGTTTGGGTTGGGTTTTTTTCCCCCTCAAATAATTATCGATTCCACTTGTTTCAATTTTGAAGCTCCTTAGAAGGAGGTTAATTTTATTTCAGCTTCCCATGACTTTATGAAAATACATGCTTCTAAAAGCATCTCTCTAGGGTCACAGAATTATTGCTTGCCTGTGCAGATGTAAGCCCTGGCATTAAGTAGTCTCAGCTAGTAAATGAAGTGTTTTGTTAGCTGTCTTCAAAATACTGTGGTTTTCAGTCTTAATAGAAATTGGACTGTCCTTAAATATGAATGTGGATATCAGACAGCACTCAATGCAAATGCTGCTTACCTACTATCAGGTTTTTTTATTTGCAGGGAGCAAATACAGATGCTCCCTATTTTTCATCACCCAAATTTTTGTGTCCATGTATATGCAGTAATGAATTCAAGTAGTTCTGCTTTGAAAGTAATGTTTGAGTGAAAGCAGTCTGATCTGATTTATCAGGAGTTGGGCCTTGTTTGCTTATTGGCATATTGAGAAAGAGGGAAAGAACATGTTAATAACTTACGTTTTCAAAGCTAAGTTCTATATTCTTCTTTTTGGTTTTCTTCTGCTTATAGAAAAAGCATGGACCCATTTGCCAAAAAACTTCTGCCAAGAAAAGGAAGACATTTGATTCCAGCCGACAGAGAGCAGAAGGAACTGACATTCCCACAGTAAAACCTCTGAAGCCACGGGTATATTATTTACTCTGCATATGAACATTTTAAGCAAACTATGTATGCATTATAATAAGGCTTATTTCTGCTGGTGATTTCTGATAATTAGATAAACTAGGATCTAGAAGAAATTGAACTGTAATGTTGTATACTAAAATAAGGCACATATTCAGCTTGAAGTAAGAGCTTCAGACATGTAAAGCTCTTTCTTTTTTGGCTTCTTAGCCAGAACCACCCAAAAAACCTTCCAACTGGAGACGAAAGCACGAGGAATTTATAGCTACTATACGAGCAGCCAAAGGACTTAATCTTAAAGATGGTGGAAAACTCCCTCCACCGCCTCCGCCATCATATGATCCTGGTATGTAAAACAATCCCATTCTTTAGAGATTTCCGCCCCCCCGCCCCCTTAGTTTATAAAAATTTGAATTGGAAAGAATTTCTTGGAATACAATAATCACAAGCTCTTGAAGGTAACTATTTGATTATTTTTATGCAGATGCTGGTTTGTGAGTGTGGGTCTGGCTAGCTACCATCCTGTGTAGCCCATGACTTCGTTTTAATGAATCAAGAGATAGTTAAGGGCAACTTGCAGCTTGCTACTGTCTTACAATCCATACGCTGAACAAACAGTTTCAACACTTTGTTTCTGTCCGTAACAGTGGAACTGCTCAGGAAGAGCAGACTGCCTTCTTAATTAGCTGCTGATGTTGGACACACTATTTATAGCCTCTTTACATTGTAGGAGTGCACGTTGGCTATGTTCTTTCAATATAGTCTCTCCATTTCTTGCTGAACTCACATTTAGTTTCATGTATATAGTGCATGCTCTAGTGTGTATGTGATCCTTCCTCATAAGGGAGATACTTGCATTTTGGATATGAGATGTGTGGAATTTATATTAATAAGGGTGCCGTCAGAACTGAGGCTGGATAAAGTGTTGATACAGTCTGAAGTGAGTGAGTAAGAAATACACTTTTCAGTTAACTTCTGAGATGTTATAATAGATTGGAGAATGTATTTCTTCCTCTTGTCCTGAGAGCTAACTATGTGATCAGCTCAATGGCTATTTTCAGAAGGACTGGGAAAACAAGAAAAAAACATGTGTTTTGCTTCTGCCTGTGGTCAAGTGAGGATGGGAGTGTTCCCTACCTTGTTTCTCTGCAGGAAAAAATTAGCCTGTTATTCAGATTGTGATTGTGAATTCATAGTAAGAAGTGAAGTCATAATATTCAGCATTCACACATGCTATCTTGAAATGCCATATGCATTTTAAAGTAAAATAAAGCCAATAGCTAATGCTGTGGATAAGAAATATAAGGCTTGATCATGGAAAGGATCATTAATAGTCTAGGCAGAAATGCCCAAAACTAAATCTAGCTTGGAAAACCTACTAAAATGGTGCTCCCTTGGTTCCAGAGATCACAGTGAGTTTTAAGTGAGGGAAGTAACTCTATTCAGCCCACTTGAAAGCAGATACGAAGTAAAGGGAAGAGAAAGATATTGTGCTTCTGTTTCTTCCTTCTGTTTTCTACTTTTTCCAAGCTGAGTTTACAGGTTTTAGTTTCTTGACTTCATCCTGCTACAGTGGGTAAAACTCAGGAGGAATGAACCAGAAATGAAGAGAACATGGATGAATTAATCAGTGGATTCTCTTCTCACAAATAGAACCAAACAAAAATAGCACAGGGACAGCTACTGTTGCTCCTTTTCCACTTTACATGTAGGAGTGAAGGAGAATTATGCATGGTATCGTGGAGTGTATCCATCCTTTCCTACTCAGCTGACTTTGCTATGCAGATTTCGAACTAACTGCTCTTTTTTTTTTTTTTTTTCTGTAAAAGGAAAGAGTTCTGTATTAATATTACCTACTTCATCACATGCTTTCAGTTTGCAAACAAGCAATATTGCTGGTTCTTTGATCTCCCATGTTTTCTTTAGAAGTGTGGAATAGCCTCATGATAATAACAAGGACCTTAGGTCACCCCATTTGCACTGAACTTGACTGCATATGTATACTGCACTTTGTTTTGATTGTTTTGTATTTTATAGAGCTTATATTGAATCCTAGCAGTTCTTTTGTACAAACAGTACTTCCAGATAGCCAGGTGGCTGACTGGTGCTAAGTAGTTTACAAAATGAGGAAGATACAATCCCTGATTCTTAAAAAAGTCTATATTAATTCTCTACAGTCTGATCCATTTACTTAAGTGGGCTTTGAAATTCTTCTGTGGGAATTGAGCTGTATGCCAGCTAGAAATGTCTTTTCTTATTAAGTAGGGGCTTCCGTAGCTGCTTTATTCATCTATTCTGGTTTTTATTCTATTTTCATTTTATTTTAACTTTGGCCCTATCTATCTCTTCAGGTATAGTTTTATGTTTGAGTTTCTGATGATAGTGGAGTTCTGTGTAAAATAAATAAAAAATCCTCATTGTTACCACATGAGATTCCCATGCTGTCACTTCTCTGAAGGATTCCTCTGTTCTTCCTGTGTCCTTTGCTCACACTTTTTGGGTCACAGTTCATGGTTTGGTGGCCACTATGTCATTTGACTTACTCAAAATAGTTAATAACTAACTTAAAAGGATAAGTAATTAAGCCAGATCTGCTGCATTTGTAGTGAAATGCAATCCAAATTTTATTTTGGATTGTATAATATCTAAATGTAATATTGGAGGCAGTGACTGTTGAATCCTCATTTTCTTCGATATGTTTCTAAAATCACCTAGGAACATGCTGATTTAATCTGCTTTGCCAGTGTCCAGTGCTTCTGAAGTTGATGTTTACATGGTTCATGATTTTGAATACTGTAATCTAGGGAATTGAGCATCCATATCTCTAAACACTAAAATGTCTGTCTGAAGCTGCAGCCCAAACACTTTACTTTCCAAGGGCAGTGTATATCTTAAGGGGTATACACTGAGCATATGGATGAGGGATCTTATAGTATTTTAAACACTTCTATAGCCTTTCTGGTTTTTTTCCCAATTAGTTCCTGCAAGTAGTACTGTTTGTAATGTGTCTAAATTAATTGTGAAAAGTAGCCACCAGTTGCCCTGTTTTGCATGTCTCTGTAGTTATCTCCTAATTTGGGCAGGATTTCCTCTGATTTTTATTTTTCTTTTCCTGATTATTTTTTTCTTTAATTATGATTTCCAGTATTGCAGTTAGTATTTCTTAGTCCTTTCAAAATTGGTAGAGGAAACAGATTTTGTTGTCTTTTGCTATTTGTATGGGAAAGGTTTTAATGCATTTTCATATCTTGAACAAACTGAACTGTGTTTATGATGTGGGGGTATTTTGGTGGTGCTTTTTTGCTTTCTAGTTTTAGTTTTGCTTGTTTTTTTTCTTCAGTCTCTACTCTTCACTTCCTTCCAGTTAATAACCTTGCTATGTCCATATACCTCGTTGGCCACTTTCTCTGCTGAATAGTATCTTTTAAAGTGTTTCTGATTTTGCTTAGATTATTTCTGATCTTCAGCCACTCTTCTCATTCTTATCCATCAAACAAGAAACATCTTTTGTGTTACATGTGGACAATATTCTTTTCCCCAGCAATCTGTATTTTTCATTTTCAGATTCAAGAGGCTTTAGTTTTCTCTGGGGGTGGGGCTGGTCTTTAAAACAGTTTCTTTTTAAAAACGTTTTATTAATGTTAGTTTTTTGTTTTTAAGATTACATTCAGTGTCCTTATTGTCAGAGGAGATTTAATGAAAATGCAGCTGACAGACACATCAATTTCTGTAAGGAACAAGCAGCACGTATTACTAATAAGGGGAAATTGGCAGCTGATACCAAAGGGAAGCTTCCTACTCGAACACAGGTGAACAATAACATTTTCCTTAACTTGTAGATTGCATTCAACATCAGATCAAGCTTGTTAAATGGTGTATTGCTCTTAAATGTAATTAACTATTTTATTCTGTAATGCTATTATTTGTGCTAGACTTTTTTTCTTATGAGAGTTGCAGAGATCCATAAATCAGATGGCAGCAGTTGCAAAACCAAAACCAGTCATAAGTGTAATTCAGAGACTTGTGAAAATAACAGGTAAGGGTAGCAGCAGGAAGTAGAGGCACAGTATTTGTTAAAAAAGTAAAAAAGCTGAATTTCTGTTGTGCAAGTCTTGTGAATCCAATTCAGGACTGTTCCTGAAGTGGACAAAGGTACATGTCCTATTGCTGGACAAGTGGCAGCAATATTTTGGCTAGTAAGAAACTTAGGAATTCAGGCATATTAAGGTAAGAGCTGCAGTAGCTAACTTACAATGGAAATAAATGAAGGGTTAAAGAGTATGTGTGTTTTCATAGGTGGTAGTACATTTTTTTAATGGAAGCTGGGGAGAATTAAATAGACAATAGCAGTTCTTCAGTGATTCTTGGAGTGTATTCTGAATCAGTGCTGGGAGTGGTCCAGAGAACACAGGTGAAAGTAAAATTTGACAGACAAAAATAATCCTGCCCTTGAGTATTCTTTTTAAAATTAACTGGTAATGAGGTGATAATGTTAATCTCATGAGCAGCTATGGGAAAAGATGAGAAAAGCAGAAAATAGACATAGTGTTAAATAAAAAATACATAACCATTGAGATAATCTTTCTTACTAGTATCATCTGTATGTATAAGAAAGCAGACTAGTGGAAACGATTTGCATGACACTGTACCAGAAGCAGTTTACTCAGTAGGTGATAGTTACCTGTTTTCCCACAATACCTGATATAACTACCTATTGTGTTGTATAGATAGTTTGATTTAATTGCTTAAATTTCTAGGTTGTATTTTGTTACAGTACAAACCACCTGCAGTTAAGAAGATGCCTTCTGTAGGATCAACACCACCATCATCATCACGCTTACCACAGCCAAGTGGTGTTAGCAAAACCGTTGTAGGTATGAAATGAATGTTACGGATTTTCCAGTTCCTTTCCAAATATTTGTTCTCAACCTATGCAGTAAAAGTAGTATGATTTTAATATCTGGAAGGATTTCTACAGCATTGCCCAGTGATTTGAACTGATGAAGTAAAAACTTCATAGGAGTTCAGTGCTACACGAGTGTAAGACGGTGTCTGTTTTTCATAATACAATTCTTAATTTAACCAATGGGTTTGTGACCTGATATTTCTTGTTTTAACTTACATACATACTTTATTGTTGAAATTGATGCAGTGGGCATTCAAAACATTGAAATTGGAAGTGGGCACTGATTGGCATCTATCCAGTGAGGTTCTTAAGCATACAGGATGACCTCCTGTTTTATTTATGAGGTCAAATTATTTTTCTTTTCTGAAATGAACCTGCAAAAGCATTCTGTGTAGTAATGCATAATTTTATTGAATACTAATCTCTCACCTGGTATTTTTCTGTTGCTTAATTCTGTAACTAATTTGTATGCTGAATATGGTTCTGATCATGAACATACAAGCCATGTATATTATAACTGTGCAAACACTGGTCTTATTCTGATTTCAGATATTATGAGATATCAGACATGTTCTGTCTGTACACACTTTGACATTCCTTCCTTTTTCTTTCTAAAGAAAGTAATTGAGGTTTAATGGTGTTTTTATTATGATAGAGTATTCTAATGAAACAGAACATATGCAACTCAGTTGCATATATTCTGTAGATTTCTGGAAACATACTTGCTTTTTCCTAGTATCTTGATGCTTGTTCATATCTTGATATTTCTAAAATTCTTGGTTTGAATTTTTATATTAAAAAAATATAGTGAGTTGTATCATCCCAGCAGCAAAATCTTATATTATCTTGTATTTCCATGCTTACTTCCAACTGCAAGGTGCCTCTTCAAGTAAAGCACTATCTTCACCTGGATCCAGTGGGAGCAAAATTCAGACATTGTCACCAGCTCATAAAAACCCATTTGGAATGGTGAACTCACAAGCAGGGTAAGTTTCCATTTAATGTTGTCATTTACATTTAATTTCATGTTTATGTTGTGCTAGTTCTGGAGGTCTTTGTGGTCTATTTCACTTACATTTGTTTTTTGGGTTTTGTTTGTTTGGTTTTGTTTTTTTTTTTCTGTGAGCTTCAGAAGTGCAGTGTTAAGAATTTATTCTTAATTTATGAACACAGTGTTTAAGGAACATAGAAGTAGGTGAAGATACATTTTCTAATGTTAAAATAACAGCAAAGGAGGTCAAGTGAGAAAAATAGATAGAAAGTATATTTAAAAGTTATAGAATATGCAGAAATGGTTGGAGCTGTATTTTTTTCTTTTTGTAAAAGCGAAGAAACTTGAAGGAGGAAACACTAGGCATAATTTCCTGCAATTCATGGAAATTAAAAAAGAGGTCTGTGCCACAGACCACAAGCCAATTGTGACAGGATCTTCCCTCTTAGCACAGAAGGGTGGATACTTTCCCTCTTCCCTTTCCTGTCTTAAAATACTCAAGAGACAACAAATGAACAAGTGCAAATAAGGCAATGGAAATCAGTGCTCTACAACAGCGACAAAAAATGGTAGTTGTATGTAATTAGAGTTCAACAAAAGTACTGGTATGATCAGGGCTGTTACTGATCCTTTGCTGGGGGGTAGTCAGTTCGCATTCTCAAAGAAGAAATATATGAAGGGATTGAAGAAAAGTAGTGCAATTTTACAGAAATTTGAGGAGCACTGAGAGAAAACATACAACAAAGTGATTGCAGCTATAACATTGGTGATTGAAGAAGGTTTATTCCTATAAAAATGAGTGTCAGATTGGTGAAGGCTGTATGAGGTGGAGAAAAACAATGGCTTAAGTTTGTGAGGAAGAAGGACAATCTGAAAGAGCTCATGGGGATGGACAGCTTTATTAATTACACAAAACTAGGAATTTTTAGTTTATTGCCCTTAAGTCTTAAAAGTTACACACAAGTATGAATTACAGCACCTCTTAATACCATGACAGATGAGGATGCAGTTCTGTCCCTCCTTGCTCTACCCACTCTTTCAGATACAGACTGGAGGCAGAGTCCATGAGGTTATCAGTTTATTCTTCTTCTTCTTATTTATTTATTTATTTATTAATATTATTCCCTCCCCTCCAGTGTCCTAGTAGCCTTTGGTCTACAGATCAGCTTCACTATTGTTTGTAGGCATTTATGCTTCAACTGTCATAAAATCCCACCCTCTGTTATGCACTGACTGATTTTTATATCTTACTTCTCCATTTTTCAGAAGTTAATACCTACTGATGAGTGGCAAAAAGAGTAGGTCTGCAAACCACAGTAAAAAAAGTCAGGGGAGATAATTTCAAGGCATGTTTCTGACACCAGTGGTGAATCCCAGCTGTCTAGGAAAGGCCTTTTCCTGTTGAGAAAGGAAAGCACTGGTTTCTTAATCTGTATTGGTTGTCTGTATTGGTTTTTGAGAGGGCACAGGTTTTGGTCTTCACTTCTTAACATGGAAGTTCTACTCAATTTTACTAGACAGTTGCTCACGGGACTTTGTATTCTGTAGTCTTCCATTTCCTCTTCTGAAGCTTCGAGGAAGAATAGTGACATGACCAAACCAAATAGTTAATATATGAAGAGATGTTTGTGCAAATTCTCTCTATTCACACACGTTAACCACAAATAGATGGCTTCTGGTTGGCATAGCTCTGAGATAATGAGCTCTGCTGAGAGGCAGTGAATGTAGCTTGGCTTATAACCTCACATATTTAAGAGTACAGATAAGTGTGTTTCTGCCTGCAGTCCTTCTCACTTTTCTGCTCTAAGAACGTGTTCTCATCTTTGCCAACCAGTCCTTCTGATTCCTTGCTGGTTATACCTTAGTCTTCTCACAGATGGCTGTTTAAATGTGTCTTTCCTCAGTGAGACCTAACAGTCTTTCTTCTAGCTAGTTTGTATTTATTTCTGAGAAGAGGTTTGTCAGGCGCTACATTGAAGCAAAAAAGTGTAGGAGCAGTTAGCTGCATTAAATCGGTTACTAGGGACAATTTTGGCCTTAATCCTCTTAGCCTCAGGGTGTGTAGGGGGAAATACGTAGAATTCCATTGAAATACCTGAGAAATTCTATCAGATCAGGGACTGAGACACTAACAGTCAACATCCTAAGTCAGAGAGGCAGAATAGTTAGTACTGTTGTGACACAGATTTTAAACATTAAAACATCTTATAATTTAGGTTATAGCTAATTGCAGCTAGAATTATTAAAAAAATAAAAGCATTTTTAAAATTCTATAAAAATAGTCTTCATTAGGGTGGAACAAGATGTATTTCTTTTGCTATGTTTACAAGTTAACCAGTAAAAATGATAAGCCATAGCATGAGATCTGGGATTCTGTTGCACCTAAGTCAGGCAGAGCTCATGCTGCAAGATGCCATGCTCTTACTTCTGAGTTGTTAGTAAACTGATTTACTGATCAGTGTTGCACATGTATTGTTTGAAGGCCAGCCTTTAAAAAGGAGTGTCAAGTCCATTGTAGAATTAAGATTAATGTTGGAGGGGGAGAGGAGGCAATTTAATCAGACACTGCTTCTTTCTATAGACTCATGATACCTGTTCTCCGTGATGCATATGCAAAGGGGCAAGAAACGATTACCTCTGGCTAACGTAACAGCCAGAAGTGATTAAAATATAGAAGCGTGCAGTTTCCCTCTTGCTCTTTAGGTGGCACTCTTGAACTGCTGCCTGAAACTGTTGGGCGGACACATGAAGCAGTTCCTGCATTCGTGTTAAAGGTGAAGACTATAACGACCTGGGTATCTAAGGCATTTAGTTCGGTAAAGGAAAGATTCCTAACCTTCATTTTATATGAAGTTCAATTTCAGTATTGCAGTATACATTTTTATTTTGTGTGAGCAGAAATGCAACAAATTTTATGAACTCCCTTGTTGTAAATAATTTTTGCTATACTATACCCTTTTTTAATTTGGTTTCTCTTCTCCTCTCCAAGTAAAGGGCTACTGAGAGAGCACATCAAAGCATCATCAGTGTAAGCTAGGTTAGTGTTAGTCATGGTTACTCTGTACACAGATAGGATGTGTCAGTTGAGCTCTGCTGTGAGAATTGTCATCTTCTGCCTGGACAGAGTGTAAGCACAGCCAATTATAAGTATTAATGGAAGTGTAGCAAAAGGGCATTATTTCTGAGTCCCAGAGAAGCAAGTGAGAGTGCAAAAGTAGCATGTGACTGTATTGTAGTAAGTACTAAAACCTTCATTTGCTTGCATTAAAATAAGATTTAAGCTATTTGATGTTGAAGAACTGGGAAAAGGAAGATTAATTCTACTTAAATTGTGGGGTTTTGACAGTGACTTGTGTTAAGATCCTAAGGTTGATACATATTTCGTAAGACTATGAAGCTTTGCCTTGTCTTGCATTTCTTGAGTAGCAAGGCAGTTCTAGTAAACTGTCAGAAGTAATCATGTCTTCAGAAGAAAAAATTGGGTAGGTTCTTCTTATCCTAAGGCTAAGCAAACAGGCAAACTCCACTCCCATGTGTAAACTATTTGCCTAGCAGAACTTGACACAGCTGTTTGTGGCCAATCAGGGATCTTCTGCATGGATATAGACATGCATGTCTATGCATGATTCATTTATGAACAATGCTGGATTTTTTTAATATGGACTTGGAAAATTATGTGATGCTTTTGAGAATGACAGATGAACCCTTAGAAATTACTTTGTCATTTTTATTTTATTTTGGGGATAGATATATTGTTTAGTGTTAAGCTGATCTAAGTTAATCCTCCTGGGAATCATGTCTATTAGTGGCACATCCAGTACTGTCTTATAGATGAAATGCAATATGAATAGCACACCTAACCAGTATTTTAAATTCCACTGGTATATTTGCTTTACAGCATGTTTAGCCTTTAAAGACATATTTTGTAAACATCTTATTCTTTTCATTAAGACTTTAACTACTTAAATCTAGTAAATACGAAGTTGTCTTCATGTTCTTTGCATTTAGTAAGATTCATATGATTGTCTTTTTTTTTTTTTTCATTAGTACATGAAAGACCTGACGGTTTCAGGGTTTTTGGGTTTGTTAAGTGTGGAAGAATCCTGTAATTCTTTATTTTGGCAGTATCATGACTGTTTCTAGCTTGCTGTCTTCAGTATTCTACACTGTAGGTGCCTGGAGTTCATAGATCATGTTGATAAATTGTTTAAGGATTAGGAAAGAGGTAAGAAAATCATGATAGGTTGAAGTCCAGAGGAGGGCCACAAAGATGATCAGAGGTTGAAGACAGACTGAGAGAGTGGACTTGTTCAGCCTGGGGAAGAGAAGGCTTCAGAAAGACCTTATTGCAGCCTTCCAGCACCTAAAGGGGCCAACAAGAAATCTGGAGAGGGGCTTTTTACAAGGGTGTGTAGTGACAAGATAAGGGGGAATGGCTTTAAACTTAGAGGGAAGATTTAGATTAGCTGTTGGGGAAAAAACTGAGGGTGGGGAGATATCATTTAATGCTTTTGAGATGTAATGTGGATTGCAAGATTCACACCAGAAGCTTCTGAAAAAGACAAATTATATAGCAAACTTGATAGGTTCTTTGCTTTTTAATATGATATATTGTAAGAGCATGAAAAGTAGTATGATATGGCTGTGAAGATACAGGGATGCACAAGAACTTTTTTTTTTAAATGGTTATATCTTTTATTTTAAAAGCTAAATTGAAGAGAATATGCTTCCTTGACATTTAGCTGTTACCTTCCTGGCATTGTAGCTTATTAAGGTTGTATGATAAGAATCAGAAAACTGCACAGTAATTGTAAAAAATTATTTCTCTTGGTGGGAGAATGTGTTTTATTGGTTTTGCTTGTTTGGTTTTGCCTTATGATTTCCCTCTAGGGGTGGGGAGGTTACAGAATAGTTAAGCTTCAGCTACCCAGCTATTTCCATCAGTCTTGCCTGGTTTGTTTCTTTACAGTTCTTTAATTTCAGAAAGATCAATAA